CAAGTGCTTATTCTACTGAGCCATCTCCCCGGCCCCTCTAGTCCTATTTTCATGTGTTCTCCTTCCTCCCTTGATTTCCTCCTGGTCATCAGTTTTCCGTGCCCTTGGTCCTCACTGACTCCTTTCCTTCCCGTTCTCCTCTCTGTCCTGTTCATCACTCTCTCTCTGCCGTCCTTGTCTTCGCCATCTCCTTCACCCCCTGCCCTCACTTCCTCTGTCGTCTCTGCGTGAGTATCCAGGGCTTCCCAGTCACTTAGTCTTGCACTAGTCACTCGGTGACTCTTCAGTGACCTCCCAGGTAAACAGATCCAGGCTTTTCAGATGTTCCAATGTTTCCAAAGGTTTCAAGGTACTATCTTTCCGTTTATTTACTGTACTTGGTTCAAGCTATTTCAATTTAAATAGCTTGTAGAGATTTGATGCTAAAATCGAGCATACATTTATTGAACTGAGAGACTGTTGAGGTTCACAGGCTCCTCTTTAAGCCCTCAATTTTTTTGCCATTTGATTTTTAGTTGGCTGAGACAAATGCTCTCTCTGAGGCTGGTCTGATTGCTCAGCCCTGGGGCAGCTGCCTCTTCATGGCTGTGCTGCCTTGAATCTCCTCTCTTCGTGCTTCCCCTCTGAGGCTAGGGCAGGGTGTTCGTGTGTTGTTGGCAGTGGGAGGGCGATCAGGGGGACCAAAGCGGCGAATGCACATTCTTACAGGTAGATATCTAGGAGTGTGGCTTTTTTTTTTTTTTGGCAGAACCAGGAATTGAACTCAGGCCCTTGTGCTTGCCAGGCAAGTGCTTATTCTACTGAGCCATCTCCCCGGCCCCTAGGAGTGCTTTTTACACACACATTTCATAGGTGCTCAGCGTACTTCCAGTGTTATGCAGTCATCACCGCTCTGTGTTCAGGGTAACTTCTTGTTTCATTGTCCCTTGCCCCACTACCTAGCAATCAGATTTGCTCTTGCTCTGGGTTTGCCATCTGGATGGTGTGTGTAATGTAATTAGTATAGTCTGGCCACTTGCATCTGATTTCTTTCAAGCCGTACAGCTTTCATGGTTTGTTGGGGTTAAAGCCTGTGTAAGCACTTCAGTTCTTATTTTATCTGGTTTTCCTTATTCTTTCCTTAGTTGGTGGGCATGTGGGTTGTCCTTTGGTTATGGGGAGTCACACTCCTGTGAACGTTAGTGTCCTGGGTTTTGCTCGGGTGTGTTTTCATTCTTTGTGGTATATACGTATAAGTGGGATTGCTTAGGTGATGAGCTACCACTCTTCCAATGCAGCTACCCCATTTATTCTTCCACCAACAATGGAAAGGGTTCTAGCTTCTGTGACCTCACCAACACACTTTTTTTTCCTTTTTAGGTCAATGTCTGTAGTAGATGATGGTTCCCTTTCTTACGTGGAGTTGGTACATGGACCCAACACATCTTAATGCAGTCTGCCATTTCCCCTCCTTTCTCCCTTCCCCTCCCTCCATCTTGTGATTCCCTTATTTGAAGAAGGTCCATCTCCCTCATTCCTGTTGTCTTCCATTTTGCTCTTTATATGTGACCTGGTTTTCTCATATAAGGAAAACCATGTGATGGTTAAGCTTGTGCCTGATGCTTTTTTTTAAAAAGAGCAGAATATATTTATTGGGGGAAAGAAAGCTTCTGTCTATGAGAGAGGAACAAAAGAAGACCCAAGCAGGTTTGCCCTGGAATCTCTTTTCCAGGGAATTTTTTTTTTTTCCTTCAGTACCAGGGATTGAACTCAGGACCTTGTACTTTCCAGGCAAGCACCTACTGAGCTATCTCCCTGACCCCATTTTCCAGGGATTTTTATTAGAGCAAAACCATGAGGTAAACCATGGGTCCAGGGTAGAAAATGTGGGAACTCGCACGTGAGGTGGGACAAAACTGTGGTCAGCCAGTAAGATTACGATCACAGTTGTTCAGGTAGAACTGATTAACTCCAGGACCAAACGGGGAAGTGAGTCATGTAGCAAGCAGGCATGAATACAGGTGTGTCTGACACTTAAAACTGTGGTCTCAGGGTGCATGTATTCACTTTCCTACAAGTCACTCATGTTTCTTTATGGCAGAGTAATACTGTACTGTGTGTCAACACCATAATTTTTGATCCATCTATTTGGTGATGGACATACAGGCTGTTTCCAGGATTTAAGTAGTTTGTACTGCTGTAAACATGGTTGTACACTTATCACTGTAAAGTGATGTCTGTTGTTCTTTGAGGAACATATCTAGAAGGGGAACCACTGGATCAGGTGGAACTTCCAGTTTGAGCTCTTTTTTTTTTTTGGTGGAACTGGGGATTGAACTCAGGCCCTTGTGCTTGCCAGGCAAGCGCTTATTCTACTGAGCCATCTCCCCAGCCCCCCAGTTTGAGCTTTTTGAGGAATCTCCCTTTCTTATTTCTGTAGTGCCTGTATTAGTTCATATTCCAACCAACTGTGTAGAAGCTTCCTTTTACCCCCTTCTGCTTGCCAGCATTGTTATTTGACTCCCTGATGAGTCAAATAACCTTCTTTCTTGGGTAAGATATGAACTCTTAGTGTTGTTTTAACTTGAATTTCTCTAATGGCCAAAAATATTGAACATTTTTTTCCTTTCTTCTGCCTGCCTGTCTTTTTGAGACAGGGTCTCGCTCTGCAGTTCAGGCTGACCTTGAAATCACTCTATAGCCCACAGGACTCACAGTGATCCTGCTGCCTCAGCCTTTGAGTTCTGGAATTACAAGCGTGTGCCCCCACGCCTGCCTGAACATTTTCTTTTTCTTTTTTTTGGCAGAACCAGGGATTGAATTCAGGCCCTTGTGCTTGCCAGGCAAGTGCTTATTCTACTGAGCTATCTCCCCAGCCCCTGAACATTTTCTTTATGTCTTGGCCTTTTACACTTCTGAGGGATGTCTGTCTTGGCCTTTTACACTTCTGAGGGATGTCTGTTTTACTTGCTCATTTTTTGACTTAGTCTTTTATTTTGGGTGGTCTGATTTTTGCTTGCTTTGTTTATGTATTAGTTTGAGAAATAGCTGGAATAATTTTTTTTTTTTTGAATGATTAAAGACTGCTTCATTGCTGGCAGTTAGTACAAATCAATAAGTACTGATCCCCGAAGAACTGAGTTATTCTGTCATTTTACTGATTCAGAGAACTGACTGGAACTGAACCATGTGATTGCTGGTTTGACTAAAGTCGTTCCTGGCTTCTTGGGAAATGAGGCACACTTGGCTCACCCACTGAAAGAATCACAATGGCTCTGTACAAGGGGGCATCAGCTGCCCCACCCTGTGGATGCACTGGAATTCCACTGTCCTTCTGAAGCAGCTTTTGTTTGTAGAGCTTCATTTTCAAACATCCTGCCTGAAGCAGTGCTAATGGTCCTTGGGTATTCTGTTGGAGAGGCAGCAGATTCTGTGACATCTTGCCCATTTTAGCCCTCCAAATGTGACATTGGATTGCCAGGAACCCAGGGTTGTTTTCTCTATTCTGTAGGTTGTCTTTTCATTCTGTAGTTCTTTGTAATTTGGTGATCCTACTTGTCGATTTTTTTTTTTTTTTTTTTTTTTTTTTTTTTTTCATAGGTACTGTTCTCTGTGTGGCCAGGTTCCTGTTCACCTGATTTCTGGCAAAAGGCCGGGAAGCTCAGGGTTCTGTTCAGAAAGCCCTTGGCTACACTTAGGACTTCAAGAGTTTTTCCCATTTTATTTTCCAGCAAATTGTTTCTGTTTTCATATTTAATTCTTTGATCCATCTTGAATTTAGTGCATGGGGAAAGAGAATGGTCTGTAAAGAGCCCTTCTTGGTCCTTGTCTCGATTCGTAAAATTGATACTTATAATCCCATGGGTAAGTTATTGGAATCCTGTCAAATTAATTCCATTCTACCACTTCCAGTGCAACCCCGCCTGAAGAAAAAGACACTAAAACATATTTATAGTTATGGGGATCCTGGGGGCTAAGTCTGGCCATGTGATGACTATCCAGAACAAAGGCCTCAGCCTAGGGCTGAACCTAGTTTTTATTCAGTCATGAAGGAGGAGTGGCTTGAGGATGAGTGACTGAGAATGGCAGGAAGTAGGTGAGGGCTGTGAGCTGGGCTAGGTAGGAGGCCTGCATTTACCTCTGCAGTATGTTGCGAGGAGGATATACAGAAAGAGTAATCTGCATTGCTCAGATGAGATGGTATCTAATGTTTTGGGGTAGGTGCTTCAGCTCTGATGTGTGATCTTTCAAGCCCCAGGAAGTCACAGCCTGCATCTCGAGACTCAGATCCCAGCCGACAGTGTGGAGCACTGGCTCTTCATCCCATCTCAACCTGGCACATATTAAAGAGTAGCAAATGTGGGTTATCGGGGAGTTATGCATGTCATCTTCAAAGACTACCACCAGCACCTCAGCTAGACAGATAGGTATTGCTTAAAACCAACTGAAGGGATAAGAAGTCCCAGCCAGCTCTGCACATATCAGTACATGGAAACAGGGTCAGGCTCAGCCAACGTGGAGACAGCTGCTCCTCTTTCAAGGAGAGTTGCCCAGGTGGTCCTCCTCAAGGATCTAAACTCACACTTCTGCCTGTGTATAGCCAGTTTTCCCAGCACCCTTTACTAAAGGGCCATATTTCCTCCAGTGTGTCAAATGCCAAAGAGTTAAATGTGTTTGTCTGTATTTTCTATTCCATTGATCCACATGTCTTTGTGTCCATACCATGCTGTTTTTATCACTGTAGCTTTGTAATACGACTTAAAGCCTGGGATTGTGGTGCCACCTGCCTTGCTCTTGTCACCCAGGAATGCTTTTGCTATTCTGGGTCTCTTCTGGTTTTATATGAATCTTAGTATTGTTTTCTCTTGAAGAATGGTGTTGGTATTTTGGGATTGTATTAACTCTGTGTGTCAGTTTTGAGAGTATAGCCATTTTGACTATATTGGTTCCTCTCCTCCCCTCCTTCCCCTCCCCTCTCCACCTCTCCCCTCCCCTCTCCTCTCCTCTCTTCTGTTTCTTATTTCCTCAGTCTTCCTCACTCCCTCTCCCTTTCTCTGACACAGGGTCTTACTATGCATATGTAGTGCAGGCAGGCCTCAAACTCACTGCTATTCTCCTGCCTCAGTCTCCCAAGTGCTAGGATTTCAGCTGTGTGATACTATGTCTGCCTATCTTTGTGTGTGTGTGTGTGTGTGTGTGTGTGTGTGTGTGTGTGTATTTGGTACAGGGTCTCACTATGCAACTTGGACGCTTAGTGATCCTCCTGCTCTCTCAGTCTCCCCAGTGCTGGGATTACAGGTGTGCACCACCATGCCTGGACTCGGTGGCTAGGCATTCTTTTTTTTTTTTTAGACAGGGTCTCACCAAGAAGCTCAGGCTGATTTTGAATTACCAGAGATCCTTGTGTGTCAGCTTCCTAAGTGCTGGGATTACAGGCATGTGCCACTATGCCCAGATCTTTCCATTTTCTAATGAATCTTTTCTTTCTGTGTCTGCCTGCCTGCCTGCCTTCCTGCCTGTCTCTCTGTCTGTCTCTGTCTCTCTGAGTCAGGGTTTCACTGTGCAGTGGCCTCAAAACTCAAGGCAATCCTCTTGCCTCTGCCTCTTAAGGGCTGGGATTACAGGATTGCACTTTCCTGCCTGGCACTTGGGGGCTGGCCTTGAATTTGGGATTCTCCTTCCTCAGCCTCCTGAGCAGCTGATTTACAAATGTGCACCATCATGCTGAGCTTTTTTTTTTCCCCGTCTTTTTGAGACAGGGTCTTGCTATGCAGTTCCAGCTGTCCTTGAGCTCACTTTTTATTTTTTTAT